GGATCTGTGGGGCTGGGGGGGCTCTGTGAGGGGTAGGGGGCTATAAGGCGTTGGAGGGGGTGGGTTGTGGGTCTGGGAAGCCGGGAATGGTCAGGAGATGCCCGTGGGCACCTCGGCTTCCCGGCGGGAATGCTGGGCTGGGATGCGCGGCCGCTCCGGGAGCGGCGCGGAAAGGGCCCGGCAAGCGGCTCGATCCGCTCCGGATACCGCCCCTGCCGCCGCTCCGAGGAATGAGGAAGCGCCGCCGCTTTCGGATTCCCTTCCTCTCCCGCGGCGGCGGCTGGGGCGCGCGGCAGGGATCGGCTTGGGGATCCGCTGGGAATAACGCGTGGGGATCCTGGGAAAAAGCCTTGGGCTCCGGGAGCGATCCGGGCTTGTCCGGAGCGAGAAAGTCCCGTTTCCGACCAGCCTCTTCCCTTCCAGGTGGAGCGGCCGTGGGAGCGCTCCGGAACCGCGACCGAGTGATGCTCCATCGTGCAGCGAGGTGGGTGCCCCTGGAGCGGGGAGGCTCCGCGGGAGCGGGAAGGCTCCGTGGCGCCGCCGTTCCTGGCTCCACGGCACCCTCATTCCCGGCTCCATTCCCGGCTCCGTGGCGTCGCTGTTCCCGGCTCCGCGGTGCCATCATTCCCAGCTCCGTGGCGCCACTGTTCCTGGCTCCACATCCCCATCATTCCCGGCTCTGCAGTGATGCCATTCCCAGCTCCACATCCCCATCATTCCCAGCTCCGTGGCGCCACTGTTCCCGGCTCCACATCCCCGCCATTCCCAGCTCCACATCCCCATCATTCCCAGCTCCGTGGCGCCACTGATCCCGGCTCCACGTCCCCACCATTCCCGGCTCCGCGGTGATGCCATTCCCAGCTCCACGTCGCCGTCGTTCCCGGCTCCGCAGTGATGCCATTCCCGGCTCCACATCCCCATCATTCCCAGCTCCATGGCGCCACTGTTCCTGGCTCCACATCCCCATCATTCCCGGCTCCGCAGTGATGCCATTCCCGGCTCCGCGTCCCCGCCGTTCCCGGCTCCGCGTCCCCATCATTCCCAGCTCCACATCCCTGCCATTCCCAGCTCCACGTCCCTGCCATTCCCAGCTCTGCAGCACCACCATTCCTGGCTCCACGTCCCCATCATTCCCGGCTCCGCAGTGATGCCATTCCCAGCTCCACGTCCCCATCATTCCCAGCTCCGTGGCACTGCTGTTCCCGGCTCCGCATCCCCGCCATTCCCGGCTCC